GACACAAGTTAAAGGAAACTTGAAATCTGGTAGGCCTGGAACACACTTCTATGGCGGTTTTGGATGAATACAGAAGATGGGTTGAACAACAAGTAACAACAGTAGTCTGTAAAATACACATAAGAAAACCTGCTCCAGTTTCACTTTGTCCACCACGAATCCTGTAACGACTTCACTGGGATTTATCCTGGTCCTGCACAGTGAGAAGCTGGTGGCGAACAGCCTGACCTATGACCTTGCCTTCTGGTTTACATTGCATTTTACAATTTTAACGCAGTCACAGATTCATTCTCTAAAGGTTTGTGACAGAGATTAACTGAAGTGATTGACACCAAAATTACACCTTAGTTACATCTACTGTTAGATTCTCTCGTGAGCCAATCAGCTTCAGAGAGTTGGTAATCAGTTGAAGATTTCTGTCTTCTGGGTTGTTGCGCTGTGTAGTCTGGTTGACGTTAACCAACGTTTCAGAGGTCATACTGCCTCCATCATCAGGGCGATGAGTATGAAGATTTCTGTCTTCTGGGTTGTTGCGCTGTGTAGTCTGGTCGATGTTAACCAACGTTTCAGAGGTCATACTGCCTCCATCATCAGGGCGATAAGTATGAAGATTTCTGTCTTCTGGATTGTTGCGCGATGACAGAGGCAGTATGACCTCTGAAACATTGTTAAACATCTACCAGACTACACAGCGCAACAACCGAGAAGACAGAAATCTTCATACTCTGATGATGGAGGCCGTATGACCTCTGAAACGTTGGTTAACGTCAACCAGACTACACAGCGCAACAACCCAGAAGACAGAAATCTTCATACTCATCGCCCTGATGACGGAGGCAGTATGACCTCTTAAGCGTTGGTAAACATCGACCAGACTACACAGCGCAACAACCCAGAAGACAGAAATCTTCAGACTCACTGCTGTGAAAACCTAAAATCTTACTTGGTAATCAGTTACTTCAAGTGTGAAGTAGACATATATGTATACATATCTCTGTGCCATGTCTTTGTTTGTATTGGTTACCTTAATTATATTAACAATATGTTGGGCATTGTCTATTGTCTCAGGTATATTTTATATTCATATGTTTCTGGAGTTTGCTGTAACCAGTAATTTGAGAAAGAATTAGAGACAACACTTAGAATGTCTTGTGTGTGGGGAAAAAAACCCAAGATGATGGGCAATGGTCAAGATAATATTAAGACAGTGACAACTTTTTATCCAAATTGGACTTAAACTTCTGTCATCTGTTCATTGAATTAATAGTAGTCAGACCAATTGAGCCATGGGAAAGACATCACATATGGCCACGTACGGCATGTCATTAATTTTAATTTATCAGGGATATTGTGTTTTTGTATTCACCGATTATAGCAGCGTAATTTGTAGATCCATCCTAAGTGGGTGTTAATTCTTCTGTGAAAATGTAATAACGGCTCCTACTTTTCGGATGAACGTTAGGGATGGCTCTAAGTGACGTGGTGCTAATGCAGAAGGGACAAAATGCAAGGGCAACACAAAAACTGAAAGAAATAGAAGATCTCGGGGGGGGGGGGGGGGGGCTCATATGGATCACTTACTGGCAAAATTGAGTCCCCTGAATGCAATTATTTCATTGCTTGGATATTTAGAAAGTCAGAAATCTTAAATGAAATATTGTAATAATTTCTATTTTTAAGTCTGCAATTTTGTTTGTATACGAGTAACAACAATTTGTACAAGACTTCTAAAGATTTTACAAAATAATTTGTGGAAACAGCACTCCATGACAACTTCCAGGCAGGATACATTGATAATTGTAACCAACTTAACTTGTCTCTGAACTACTTAATCATTTTCAACTTGATAACAGTCTAATAAACATTAGGACAATAAATATTTAACCATCCACCAAACAACATTATGAAACACGATGTACAATATTTTGTAACGATGTATAAACTCCCCATAAAATTTATCCTGTTCTCAGGCAAATTTTCCAACATATGCCCCACCCCTTGCTGTATGTTATTTTTAACGATTGTAATATATATATTGTTTATTTATTTTAATTTTATATTCTTACTAGCAGTGCTTCTTCATTTGTGCCTTCATGTTGCAAATAATATTCGACCACAAAAGGACTGGAACAATGAATGATCAGATACCCAAAGGTAAATATTTTAGTCACATGTTTTTAAGTGATAAATATTTAATTTTAGTATCAAAGATAAGCGACTTATGTAGAAATATCTGTGAATGTTTAGACCCTTTGTTGTAGAACTTATAACATGACATATTCCAGAATCCTGTTTTTCTTCACCATTCACCTTCATGAGGCCCTGCACATGAATTGTGCGCAAATGATCTCCAAGAACGATCTGGTCTGGCATTTCTGAATTTCTTGCCCCACCCCTAAGTCTCAGAGTTAGACATCGCCCGTGTACCACTTTAAATGGGGATTTCAGTTTTATCTCATATTACACGTAAATATGTACTGCAGATATGACAACATATATTGTATAAAGATGGCAGTCTTCTCAGCTGTTGTTGCATTGTGAGGTCTGGTAAAATTTTATCGACGTTTCAGAGGTAATTGCTGCCTCCATCATCACAGCAATGAATAAGCTGTGCTCCAAATCAAGATTCTGCCTTGAACGACTAGTTTATATATTTCAGACTGCTTCCTCGTGCATGGCTCACTCATCGCGTTGGTAATGGAGGTAGTACGCATCTCTGAAATGTTGGAAAAATTATACCAGACTACAACTCAGAAGACAGCAGCCGTCTTCATACTCACTGCCAACAGAACCTGGAATTTAATTTATATATTACACACTGACAATATATGACGAGAATTCATGTAGTCCCTGGGGCCACATGTACAGAAGTACCCCTCATTCAGAACCAGTGGTCAAGACAATCAGACAAGAAACCTCCCTCTTCCATAAAGGACCAACAAGTATGATAAAGGCAGAATATTTAAAATAAGAACAGGCTAGAGATTAATTTTTACAAAATTAATTCATATTAATACTTGTTTATTAATGGTACAGGTAGCCCTCGATTTACGCCGGGGATACGTTCCTGGACGAACCGGCGTAAATTGAAACTTTTTTATAATGAAAATCAATGGGAAGTCAATGACACGCGTTCCCAGCACCAAAACATTGACGAGTAATATAATGGTATTACATTTAAAGTTCTGAAATGACGTAAATAAAATAAAGGGAATTTAAAAAAA